TTGGGTCGAGACTTTCATTTAAATTCTCTATTGTGACCTCAACACTGCTTTACTTTGGTGCACTGCGACGCTGGAATTTATAGCATTATGAATAAGGGTCTGGCATGAACGTGGGAATATATTGGGGGATTTTTTTTTTCTCCTTTTAAAGCTCTTTTTTTCTTCAACTTTTATTTTTCCATACGTAAGACCAACGAATTATTTTGTTAATTAAAACGCGAAATATTACGACAAGAAATGTTGTTAGTTCGTTTATTTCAAAGGCTCATCTATTCGATTAGAAAATATTCTACTTGCATAAACATAGACGTTCGTCTGGGATGGTGTTCTCTAAAATGTAAAATTTCGTAAAATATTGCACCGGAGAATAATTTACCGAATGACAAATTAGTAAAATGTAAATGCATGGATGGGAATAAATACTAATATACGAGAATATAAACGACATTTATTCGCTTTGACGAAATAAATTTATCTGGATCGATTTATTTTAAACTCTAGAATCGATAAGGAAAGATATATATATATATATATATATATATATATATATTTGTCGGAACGAATACATTTTCTCTGCCGGTACGATGTGTCGAATGGCAGAGAGATGACAAGATATCAAACGGCATTGCGGAAACTGCGCGTAGCGTTGTAACATTTTCGGGTAACTATACGATCAGAAAGGTATGCATAGAAATACGAGGGTAGCTATGTAGAGAACATTTCGTTCGTATAACAGCGTTTAGGTATTGTCAGTACAAAATAGATAGGTGTACCTTTCGAACCATATATTTGTATATGTATATTACAAGATGCATACATAATTTAACGCGATCAATTTCGCGAACGGTTTATATATGTATATATACAGTATACTTAGTTATGTATATACACGCGATAATTTTCCCCAAGTATTAAAAATGCAAAAAAAAAAAAATGTTTCAAGGGAGACACCTATGGTATCAAGGATGATACATCGTAATAATAATTATTAACTTTGGGATGACCATGGTGAGCCCTATGAAAGTTACGTTTACATTTTTAAATAGAACTCTATATTCTTTATTACATTACTTTTATAGCTGACATTAAAGTGTTTTTGAACGTACTATGTACACATATGTATTTTGTATAGCTCGTTGTTGAGTTATTAAGCTTCAAATTTGATGTGTAACCCGATGTACCGGGGAGAATAGTTTAATCGAATTTTGTGTGATTTCAGACGGCGAACAATTAAATTGAATCACATCGATACAAAATATGTAAATGTATTATTGTTGCACTTGACATCATACAATATTCGTTTGAAACATTTTGTTGCATTTTTAATGCTTAGAGAAATAATCACGATTATACATATAAATTATACATACTATATATATATATATATGTTTGTTTGATTTATAAAAGTATTTTAATCCGTATATTCTATATATAATTTTTCCAATGAAATATTTATGAGTTTATTGAATTTATAAAAGGATTAAAGTGACTACGTCTTAATATAGATCATAAGCAATAGCTAATAGCGTTATTTGATCTTCCAATAGCATTTAGAGCTTGGCCGTCTGACGTCAATCAAGCTTCTCGTTATCCTTCGAAGGGATACATCCTTACGTATACATAACGGTACATACTCTGATCTCCAGCAGGAGTTAGTAATACGATCGATATTCAGAAACATGATTGTATTAATAGCATACTGGACTATAGATCTCTACTATTTCCTTAATTAAACCTCGAAGAATATTCGAAATCTTCAAAGGATTATAAGAATATAATCTTTTGAATATGATTCAGTGTGATTATTATGGACACGTTGGTTGATAATAATTTTTCATTGAATGAATAATTAAAGAAATATAAAATATCTAATTATTGATTTGAACAATATCATTAACAGAATATTTTTGTTCTAATCAAGTAAATATTTAGCGTTACTGTTAACCAGAATAGTCCGAAGATTTTCAGAAAAGATTTTACGGCATTCATTCGTGGTGTCTGTACATACATTCTATGGAGTCTCACACGTTAATTGAGAGGATGGTAGATGTGCGAGGAATACTTTCCACACGAGAATTTCCCGTTCTCACCTAACAAAGTTCCAAAGCGCTCGTAGAATTTCAACTAGGTTCTCGCTAGTCGCAGATGCGAGTCTTGCGATCGTTTTCTGCTTACAAATCGCAAAACGATTCCTTCTTTTTCCATCTTTTTTCCTTTCATCATTCCCTCTTCCAATCTTTTTTATGTCGAAAAATGTATTCCACGATGTCAAAATGTGTTTTAATTTATCAAATATTCTCTATTCATGTTTATTCCATTCCAAGTTACTCCATATAGAATAATGCATAACTTTGTATTAATATGATAATTATTACCAGAATTAATATATTGTTAAGCCGTGGTAAGACGTGCCTTAATTGGTAATCGAATATTGCGCTGAAATTTTGTAAATCATACAAATTCTCAAAACATATATATATATATATATATATATATATATATATATATATCATGGGAGAATTTCGTTAGAGGGAAGACGATTAATAATTAAATTATTAGATGATAAGTTTGTAAACATTAACAAATAAGTGTGTTCACTTTGTTACTAATAGTTACAATTGTTTCCTTTACAGTAAATAATATTAGATTTGTGTAAGTGAATTTATAGAAAGTTAAAATTTTTTCTTAGCTATTTGATAATATTTCTATCAAAGTTAATACATATTCGACATCGCTGATGGAAGAGTTTACTAAAATTGCTTGTCTGAAAAAGGCAAAACGCGGTTGCATACATAAATGAAAAATAAGATATCGAGGGTAGCGGAAGCTTATTAAAATCAGGGTTGGATCGATTCTGAGAACGTTGGAGGATCGACTATCGATTCTCAATTACGCCTTAATGGCCATCTGCAACACCCGTATCAGTCATGTGTATCGCACCACTAAGTCCAGAACGGATCATCTCTCGAGGAGTAAATGGGCCGCAAGGACGAAATCGAAGTAAGGATGATGGGAAGGACCTCTCGACCCTAGTCGTTTTCTTGGTATACATACGATTTCCTGAGAAAGACTCTCGGGGACGTTTCAAAAATTTGATTTCAACCTATTTCAAGAGTTCGCTGAGCTGACAAAAAAAGACCGTACAGAATAGTACAAAAATTACTGGACTATTTGCAAATCATATTGGAGATATAAAATAGTAAATATATGCGTAGTAGAGCTAATAGTAATAAGAAACTTTTATGATACTCGAATATTTAAAAATACAAATAATTTGGATGTCTAAAATTAAAATATATCGAATCATTCGAACGATTTTACTTTTATTTATTATTTCAAGTCTATTAAATATGACGATCTTTTTTTTTCCTTATATAAAAATACATGGATCCTTCGTTCCGCGAGCGAATTGGCATTCAGTTAATAGCGGCTTTTCTCGATGTCTGCAGACAAATCATTGTACGCTTTCTTCAACTTCCAAGAAACGAATTTTCCGCCCGCCGGCACGTGGGATTGAAATATGGTCGGGAGGATTCGTATCCCTCGGATCGTGGGAACCTCCTCTACTCGAGAAAAGAAGAACGAGGAAATTTTCGTCCGATCGAGTTCGACCGGAGTTTATACCGGAAAACTCTGCCGATTCTATAGGATTTCCGAGTAACCCCTTTTCTCTACCCCCTCGCTCTCCTTCGATAAAGCAGATATACCTGTATATGTATTTCGCGTCCTTTCGTTTATACCGGAAATTTCGTTGCGTAAGATCCAGGAAAAGCTTGGCTTCTTATTCGTTTGCCTCGACAAATCAGAAAATTTTAACAAACTCGGAAGAAGGATCTTCGATTTCCGATCGGTTATAGACTCTTTTTGAATCATCCTTTGACTATTTGCACTCTTCTGTTATTATAGATTATATTATATAGATAATTATAACAATGCAAAAGTATTAAGGATAATTTATATTAGAGCTTAGATATTAGCTTTCTCCAAAGATTTGTATCACTTTTATTTTCATTTGTATTACTTAACTCTCACCACGATTGTTTCACGTATATACGTACATAGATTGAACGAAGTGAGAAGCGAAGAAAAATAAAGGCAAAAAAGCAGGTAGGTCATTTTTGTACGGTCTTTCATTCAACGAGAAATTGGGGCAAGCGTTTTAAAGTTCATTGAAAAGCTTGCGTGGAGAATCTGGCAGGAGGTAAAGAATCTTGACAAGGCAAATTTAGAAAGCTCCTTCTTTGGCCCTGAAAGAACACGAGTAGTCGCTTTCTGTCGCTCAAGTATTTATACTTTAGTCCAGCCGAAACTTTTTCTCTTACTTTTGTCATTTCCTTTTTACGTATCTTACGAATTTTTCATAAACATTTAGAGCGTTTTCATACGAGTTGCTGGAGATATTACGAAAAACGTAATTATTAATAAATCAAAGAGAAATATTATCTACCGAGATACTCAAAGTAACTATATTCTTTGATACATACAAGTTATGTCTATATTATGATAACATCAGTTACGATATGTGTATAATTGTATTCGTAAATTCATTTATTATTATCTGCTTTTACACGGGCGTTTATTATACGTCAGAATACGTACCGCATATAAAGACACATTGCAATCAATATTTACGTTCATATTAATATTGAAATGAATTACAAAATCACGTACGAATTGCTATGTGTTATTGTTCGCTTGAAAACGGATTACGCAACTGTGTGTATCAATTATTATTTTTAATAAGCGATTACGTAGTATCGTAGATTATTATTTTTTTTTTTTGTTATGTTAATGGTTAAAAAAAGTCATCATAAAAGTAGAATATTATAAACGTTCGCATTTAAATCGGCCATATTTTCTTCAATTGGAATTTTGTTTGCTATGATTTTTTATTTGTTTTTTTTTTTTTTTTTTTTTTTTATTTTTTCTGAAAAAGAAACATTTAGGATATTATTTTGGGAGATTACGCTAATTGGAATTCCGAATCATGCGTTACATACCTTGGCTCTACGCATTTACGTGCGGTTTAATTACAGTCGCTTCTTTCTTTTCAAGGTAGATCTACCTCGACATCTGCGGCACGGTTTCGTTTCGCTCCAAATATTCAGAGTATTATCCTGCAAAATTTCATGGATGAAGGATAATACACGCAACCTAGCGTAGCTCGCGTTAACCATGTCAAATCATTTAGCATTTTTTCACACTTTTAAAAGATTTAAAAAAAATATTATAGAAACGTCTTATTATTTGAAGAAACGCAATATTTGTGTATGTACAGGGTGACCCATTTAAAATTCCAACACATAATTATTTTTCTTGGATTACATTTTGACATGTGAAAGAATTAATAACAACAATGATTTTCAAAAGCACTTTGTTTGGATTTTTCCGAAGCATGATTTTTTCGTTCAGTCATATCAAAGTAAAAAAAAAGAAAAAATGATACTCTTTTACAATTTTGCTTTTCTATGAGCAATCATAGCATTATAACAAATGTATATTACTACATAAAAATGAAAAAAAAAGAAACACCGACAACAATCTTGATATCTAAAAATAATGATCTTGACAAAAAATTTTCATACCATTATATTTCATCGTTCGAACGTGAAAATTTGTCCTGCGACAATATTTCATACTGCATCAATTGAAAAGAGATAGTCAGATCAAAATAGGACACTCAGTATGTCATTTGCGTCGTTAGAGCTTGCATAAAAAGTAAGAAGAAAGTCAAAAGAAGAAGAAGAAGAAGAAGAAGAAGAAGAAGAAGAAGAAGAAGAAGAAGAAGAAAAGTAAGCAATGAAGTCGCAGCATAAGTTAAAATAAAATCTCTTTTTTTTTGTCCCTTTTTTTTTAACGAGCTTAACGTTTAGAAAGACACGACGTCGTCGTGGGGTTGGAAAGGTTAAGTAAAACCACTTAGGACGTGGACGTTGACGTGGCTAGAAGAAAAATATAGTGGCGAACGCCACAGAAACTGGGAGGAGGGAAAAGGATGCAACGAATAGGTGGCGTGTCTTCTTGTAGCAGCTCGTGCTGCGAGGAAAAGGGAGGTGAATGTGAAGGGTTGGGGATGAGACAAGGTAGGGGAAGACTCGGAAAGGGAGGACAAAATTTACCACCTGCAGCTGGACAAGCGGACACGTAATTAAGCCGAGCAGATAAACACGCAATTACCCCAGCGACGACGGGAACGAGGACTCCAGTCAGGGTGGTTGGAGTTGGTCGAACTCGTTCGTCGCGTGGGAACTCGTTTCCCGTTGCAGTTAGTACTAATATTACCAGCTCAGCATTACAAGTGAAACAGACGAATCCTAAAGAAAAAATGAATCTACTTCAGAGGGCATCGTCTCGTCCTATATTTTTTTTATTACTTTTATTTTTGGAGAAGCTTAGAGGATCTAAATTTTAGCATCCATTTCATTCATTCATTCATTCATTCATTCGTACAGTTTTTACACTTCGTTATACGTTCTATATCGGACTGATACGAATAAACACATTCGTTCTCTCGTTAGAGAGCAAAAATTTGCTCAATGATATTAGAATAGGAACTAATTTTATAGTTCCTAAAAGCTTGTTTTTCGAATATGAAATATCATATTCGTACATATGTTCTTCTTGTGAAAGGAAAGAAAAAATATATTTCCTATGTAATAAGTATTTTTTTTTTCCTCTTGAGATATATTTATTTCTATTTTTATTGAGTATTATATATGAATATTTAAACCATATTTAGTAATAAATGAAAATATAATAGAATAGATAGACGTAGATAATAGAATATTTTAAATCTTTTTAAATCGAAATGATATTAATTTTATGATCGAAGTTTTTATTTCTATATTTGTCATATAAGAAAGAAATATCGAAATCCTTGATATATTTTGAAAATATCACAATTATAAATTTATGAAAAATAACGTTCTATAAATTTAACGTTTAGGTATATTGCAAGACTGTCTAATAATAGTATAATAATAGTCATTGTGAAATTATTCTCATTTGATTAGCTTTAACCGTTCTAATATAATAACAGTTCTAATATAATGGTTTGCTGTATCTTTGATTTAGGATAACTTTGAAATAGCATCAACATTTTCCTTTTATTTTAATCCCACGAGAGACGCATTTATTCTTCGGTCGAGTTGATCGATATCTTACAAACGATATCTCGTTTCCTCGCTTTAATCACGAACTACTTAAAAATTCTTATCGTTTTTCTCGGATCGCATCGAGCGAAGAACAGAAATTGCAGCGAAAGTTTCGACGTACCGTATGCATCCGCAAACTCGTCGATAAATCTTCGAAAGTATTTCGACGGTAATACGCGAACATCCATTTTGAGGAACAAAATCTTTTTTTTTTCTTCTTCTTCTTCTTCTTTTTTACACTTACCTTCTTGAAAGCTTCGATAGAAGGATGGAGAAAGATAGATAGATAAAAAGTGAGAAAAAAGAGAAAAAGGAGAAAGAGAGAGAGAAAGAGAGAGAGAGAGAGAGAGAGAGAGAGAAAGGGAGAGATGGTAAGAAATTTTAGTCAAGGAATTTCACGAAGCGTCGTTTGAGTATATAGGTGGCGAAAGGACCAGACAGTTATCGGATGATAACTTTGGTGCATCGCAGGAAAGAGAGAGAGAGAGAGAGAGAGAGAGAGAGAGAAAGAGCAACGACGATAATAACCGTAGGAGGCAAAGAGACGTCGTTAAACGGTGGCATGGGCGAACATAAATCGTGAGAAAAACACGCGTGGCAAAATTGCCACGGGCCGGCACTACCATCGTTGGAAAATATGTCACTTTCCGCCTTCTTTACATACATCGTCCATCTCCGTTTCTCTTCTTCTTTCTTCTTCTTTTCTTTATCCTCTTTTCGTTCTTTTCCACGTAGATATCGTTCATTTAATTAGCCATTTAATTAATAGCGTGCATTTTAAAATCGTGATGTATCGATCTCATATTTTATATTTTCATATGCTAGAACGTAAATCCTTAAAAAATTAGAATATAGCACGCAAGACTAAAATTACTGTAAGATAATTAAATGTTTGCGTAATATTTAAGTACAAATCATTTAACCCTTAATAGTTATCGATAAACAAATTTACGTTATTCCTATGGCATCTAAAATATCTCGACTGATACATTATCTTTTATTTTATGAAAATCGATATTAAAAAGAATTTTAATTAAAATTATTTTTTTTTATTATTATTAAACATTACGTATGAAAATTACATTGGAAAAATTAATTTTTACGATAATTGCGAATAACGTTGCGACGGTTAGGAGAAATAAATTTATTACATTGTTTGCATTTCACTTTGTATATTTTTTTTTTTTTTCCTTTTTTTTTTCTTCTTTTCTTCTAAATATGAAATTTCATCGATGACAACGCTTAAGAGTTAATTATACAATCATACGCTAGCACTTTATATTTCATTTAGATAAAATAATATTTAGTCATTACATTCGAAATAATAAATCGTCGTCGTTTCTTCGAAGGAAAAATCTTCACATCTTCGAAAGAGTTTAAATATTTGAATCGTATTTGAATCGCGTAATAAAAGGAACGTAAGACGATGGCCTCTGATTTGTCGCTTCCTGAAAGAGAAGTGGAAATCTCGAATTCTTTGGTAAATCGTTACTTTTACAAACTGCCTACACCCTTCGCAGCCACTTTTATTGACTCGCGCTTTTTTCTTCTCACAACCCTTATTGCCAAAGCATACCGCCGTGTAAAGTACATTACGTCTTGGCAAGCCTTGGAATTCGAGAGACGCCATTTCTTACTCTCTCTCTCTCTCTCTCTCTCTCTCTCTCTCTCTCTCTCTCTCTCTCTCTCTCTCTCTCTCTTTCTCTTTCTCTTTCTACCGAATTTTTCCACTCGCGAATCGTCCACGATCTGTCGCTTCCAATCACGATTTAAGAAAATAAGTTCTTTTAATCTTTTTCCTCTGATATAGTAATACGACGAAAGATTTTCTTGTTAATCCTTATTTCTATTTCTATAACGAATCACGTCAACAACGAAAAATGCCTTTTCGAATAAGCTTAAGATATATCTTGGACGGTAAAGATAACGATAAATGATGCGATGTTGAATGTAAAATGTATTTAAAAAGAAAAAAAAAAAAAAAAAAAAAGAAGAAAAAAAAGAGAAAAAGAAAAGAAAAATAAAGCAAGCCGGGTTATCCATTAAAAACGTTTACTCATGATCTTGCACTTTCATTCATCATAATTTCTTTTCCTTGATTTTTCATTAATAACGATAAAAGATTAATGTCTATCGCGTTGGCATATTTACGGAGCCAATCTATGTGCAATACTTTTATTGATACTTTGATTATAATTTCTTTTTTTTTTCTCTCTTGCTCAAGAATACGTTAGATCTTTGTTCGTAACTTCGTGATTATTCAATATATGCATATAAACGTACGTACTTATACATATATATATATATATATATATATATATATATATATATATATATATTCTAGAGGTATTCTCGCGTTTACATTGAATTCCATATAGACCGAAGCATCCATGCGATTTCTCTGCATATTTCCTGCAGGAAATAATTTATCTCGCTCTGTCGAGGAAAACGGTAGAAAAACCTCAGGTAAACGGGATAAAAGTTTTTCAGAATCTAAGGTCAACAGAGTTGGAGGAATATTGTCAGGAACGATTACTGGCACGATATTAAATGGGTTTAAAGGATGTAATAAAAATTAACGTACGCTATAAATATTTTTAATTTCAATTGAAAAAGTTGCCAAATTATTAAAAATTATGAAAAATTATTTTGCAAGAACAGAATAACGCACGTAATCGTTATAATCTTCGATCATATCGATTCGATCATACTCGGTAAATATCTATATCGAACAAATTTTACATTAAATCGATTCTAAATGACACGATACTTAGCTATTCATTTAATTTAGATTTATAAGTTCATCTTGTACTTATCATACTTTCTTAGAAACGATTTTACTAAAGAATTTTGCATGTTTTTACATTAAAATAACTATTACTAATTGGAACAAGTAATATAGTATGTGTTAAAGTTTCAAGAACGTTGAATAAGGATGAATGTGTTATAATCAATGTATGTCA